GTATCAGAATACATCAAGTTAGATTTGAATATGAATTTTTTGTCTAAATTCTCAGAAAGTTTACGAATTTGAATCTGACTTGAAAAAAGAAGTGGTCTCACACGTACCTAATAGGAGTCGCTTCTAATTTTTTATGTCCAACTAAAACGGTTTTCTTTCACCTATGAATTCTGGTAAATTCAGATGTTTTTCTGGCTCATTTCTTCTCTTTTTTGTTCTAACGTCTATTGATTTTCAGCTTTTGGGTTTTTATTTTCTGATTATCTTGCTTTGCAGCTGGTATCCCTGATTAGAACATAACTTGTTAACTAATTGCTTCAACAGATTATACAACAGCACTCAATATGGATTTGTTTATTTATCCTGACTATCATAAAAAAATCCAAGTTTTTTACGTTGAATATTAGTACTGCATATCGGTAAAGCTGTGTGTGGCCAAGGTTTTCTGATCACAGTAACAATGGTTACAAGAAATGTTTTCAAAAAACCATACAGTGGGCATCGAGGCGGACATTTGCTAAAAAAAATCGAAAGAAAAAATCTTTTTCCACATTCAGATAGTGTCAAATATACTTTGGTCCACGGACTACCTAATGGTATAAAATGTTTTGCTCCAAGCGCTGAATTTTCGGGGAAAATATATATTGGGTCTATTTATTGGGTCAAAATTGGATATATTTTACTTAATGAAAAAAAAAACAGAAATTTCTATCTATTCAAGAATATTATTTTCACCATTATGTTAAATCAACAATCAATGATTCGTTGAGATGATTTGATAGAATCTTCAGGAAATGAACCATCATAGTTGCTGCTTGTTTTGATCCTTGATCAGAATTCGAGAGATATTCTTGAAGAATTGAGTCGATATCCGAGTTGGAAGGTGGCGTTTCATCATGTGCCTTCGAAACACGGGCTCTTTGCAGAGTACGGATGCATCGTGCTAAATCGGATATTTTCACATTAGAATCATGCCTTTTGATGAAATTTGTTAATTCTTGGTACAGCTCTTCTGTTTCCAACATAGAAAGGTATCACGTGCTGTTCGATATGAAAGATCTGGTTTAATAAAACGTATAAGTTTGTTTCTTAGTTGTAATCCGATGTTTCCCATCCTGATAATATTACTATCACTTTCTAATTGTTCTAATGAGGAAAGACGTGCTTCTAAACCAGTAATTTGATTTTGTAATAGGTCATTCTGTTTCATCAAATTACTATCAATCAATTTGTCTTTGACGGCATTGAATTGACAGAGATCATCTGCAGCAGGTAGAGCATCTGCTAATAAAATATCGAATTCTTCAAAAATAGCATTTAGTAATTGTTGACTTGCCGCTTTGTTAATTGTTTCTGAACTAGATTTCACCAAATCACTCGCTCCTATTTGAGTGATTAACCGACGTTTGAGCGACCGACATTTGAGTGTCAACATTTGAGTGCCGATACTTGAGCGACCGTCATTTGAACGATCGACACTTGAGCGACCCCGACATTTGAGCGACCGTCATTTGAGCGTCACCGACATTTGAGCGATACACATTTGAAGCACTCCAACAATTGAGCGAACCGCATCACTTATAGCTGCTCACCCTCACCCCCACTCACCGGTGTCGGGGTCGCTCAAATGTCGTGGTCGCTCGAGTGTCGGGGTCGCTCAAATGTCGGGGTCGCTCAAATGTCGGTTGACGTATTTGAGTACTTGTCTGTGATATTTTTTCTTTGTTCTTTGTTAATACAATAGGTATTTGATTGACTAATTTTGGTAATTTATCTCGATCATTATCACTGTATTGTCCAAGAACTAACTCAAATTGGTGTTTTATTGTTTTCGAAGATGGAACGTAAGAAACAATATACTTGAACTTTTATACGATATCTAAACGTAAAAATCAACAGAAATTAAAGTCACCATTCAAAAGTCCCGCGGGACTGAGACGGTCCCACAGACCTCTAGTTGTGCTTGGTCTCATTGTGACTAGAAAAGATTGCTCTGCATATCTCCATGTTTATATCTCCATGTTTATTTATCACCATAAGTATGGTGGAATAAGAATTTGAATATTTTATTTTTTGATGTTTCCAAAAAATTTGCTCTGAAATCACGAAAATTCATCTCTTGAACCAAAACCGATACAGATTCTGAAAGTTTGGCTATTCGATCATGTGTAAATCTCAAAATCGATATTTTTTGAGGAAAATTGATTTTTTTTTGTCGGGAGAGGTTCAGCTAAACCTGTCTCAATTGAGATGATATTTTCACTACATTTATGTTCTCGATTATTTACCATTTCTTCGAGATAAAGAACAATCATTACTTATACATAATCTATGGTCAGTCTATATACAATATTTTAATTGTATGTTTGATGATCTTCTTGTTGTACCTCAATGATAAACTTTTAAATGTTAGTTTTCTTTTTAACAATTTTTTATTGTTGATTTTAAAAACGAGAGAATCTAGTTTAGAGAAATAAAAAAGTATCTTTCTCATCACATAGGAAAATGGAGGCTATTGTGTTTAAAGAGTAATTCTTCCTCCCCTTCCCTCCGTCCTATCGGTTTTGGAGAACGTAGACACAAAGGTCTTGACTGAGCCTACAATTTTTTACCACCGATACTTCAGACCTCACTGGAGGTTTTAAATTTTTTCTGATAAATATTCGAAAAGTGCCGAACATTCTTTATAAAAAGTCAGTTGTTGATTTTAAAAACCTTTTGACAACGAAACTGAAATTGAAAATGCTTTAAAAACAAATTTACAACTTAAGACAGGCTCCTATGAAGAATC